GCTGACCAGGCGCCGGCCCCGGCGCGGCGGGCGATGCGCTGGCGTCAGAATTCGCCAGCCTGGTCAACCGCCTTGACCTCCAGTCAGACCTGAAGCGCCAGCGGCCCAGCCACCTGATGCCGCCCAACGCGGTCGTCGCGGCGCAGATGGACGCGCTGCAGCGGCCTGACTGGTGCGCGGCTGGGCTCGTGCTTTGCCGTGCATTTGCGCCAGCCCTTCCATCGGACTATGTACTGTTTGGTACCTATTCAATATCTCATACCAGCAGAGGCGTGCACCAACAAGCCAGCCAAGACAGCTGCGAGAGCAGAGAGAGCTTCGTCGGTCGAGGCAGCGCGGCGCGGCGCCCGTGGGCGCACGCCTTTTTTGTGCTGCTAGGCGAAGGGGGGGGGGGTGCTGCTTCGTGGCGTTGGGCGCCTGCAGCGCTGCGCCCATAATAATCTCCAGGTGCCCGGCGTTCTTGTGTGGCTGCTTTGGCGGCGAAGGCGATCGCAGACCCAACCCATTGCGCCGGCGCGGTTCGGACCCGGGCCATGCAGCTGCCTAGTGCGGCACCACAAACCCATTGGTGCGGCTGTCCACACGCCTTTCCAACTGTTACCACCCCGCAGGCCCGAACCTGACGCCGGGGTTCACACGGCCTACCATTTCGCCATGCCCTACGGCTGCGGCGGCGCCGCCGCGCCGCGGTCAGACCCTCGGAAGCAAAAGGCCTCGAGCGGCGGCCCGTCGCCGTCCTCTTCGCCGACGGCGGCGCCGGTCACGGACTCGACCCCCCGCCGCAGCTGGGGCGCCAAGGAGGAGTGGCTGTCGCCCGACGGATTCAAACGGCTGCTGGCGTCGCCGCCCTATGACGTTATCGTGGGCTGCGATAGCTGGCGGCCGGCATCGCCGCTGGTGTTCCCGGGGTCGCGGCAGGGCGCGAGGGCTGTACAGACTGTCGAGGTTGTGGCCGCGCAGCGGCAGGGCTCTTCGGCAGCACAGCAGCAGCAGCAGCAGCAGCAGCAGCAGCAGCAGCAGCAAGGGTGGGGCGGCGGCGGTGGGAGCGGCGATGGTGGCGGCGGTGGCGGGGATCGCTCCTACCGGTTCACGTTTTGCCTAGAGCTTGTCGAGGCCGGCGGCATGAAGGGCTGTTGGCTCACGGTGGGCGTCAGATCGGGGGACTACAGCCTCTGATGACCCGACCGCAGCGGCCTTCTCATAATTGTGGCAGCCCCTGAAGCCAATGAGGACCATTCCACCTTTGACCGTCAGATATTGTCCCTTCTGGATGTCCAACCAAACACTCTACGCAATCACGACCGCCCCCGATTGCTGCATCAAGCCGTGGTCCCATCTGAGGTCTGACGGCAGCCGCCGCTGATGGCAACGGCCATCAAACATGCGCATCCCCATTGTGTGCGGCGTCTTCCGCGGATCCTATGCATGCTGTGCTGCCCTCATTATCTTCGCAACTGCTCAGCCCCCTCTTGGCAGCAGGGGTGTTGCTGCTCCGCGTCTCCTTGCCCCGAGGCTGATTATTTCCAGGCGGTTCGCCCCCGGGCCCTGCAGGAACCGGTAACTGAAGCAACAGCTATTGCTGCCGCTTGGGAAGGCCCGAGGGTGAAGGTTTTCTTCTGCAATGAAATCCCCCAGCAATCACAACGTGAGTTGGCAGACGGTCGGGGCACAGTTGGCACATGATTGGAGTTGACTGCTTTGACCATGCCGTGTTGGCGACAGGGACGACGAGCTTTGCCATGATAACTATCAGACAGAAAGGTTCTCGTAATTTTATTAACTGAGGTTGGTGCGGACGGACATTTGACCATCCTGCCGGGTGCAGCATGCTGGTGGTCGCCCTGCTGGCGTCACCAAGTCGTCACCAGCGTCGAGCAGGCCTTGCCTGACTCGACACCCTTCAGCAGGCTACCGTAAGCCCCAGCACTTATCATGGGGCCACGCACCCTCCAAACATACTGTAGGTGATCCTGTACGGTGCACATTGGCGGGTAGAACGCCGTATGATCGATATGGTGCTTGGTACTATTTGAAACACACAACGGAGCATCTGGATGAATCAAAGGGCCGACTGAACATGATGTAGCACAGTTTCTGCAGGGCAGCAGTGGAAGTTGACGCCAGTGTTCACACAGTCCCCAGCACAAGCAGGAATGTCGAGGGGACTTCACATTCTTTGCGGGGACTGAGCTGCGGGAAAGGTGCAAGCTAGGGCTGAAAGCACATGATATATCACGGACACGAACAATCGAACGCGGTAGCTGCCGGTCGTTTTCAGGGGCTAGTAGCTACGTATCCCTGGTCAGCACAGGCTGGTGCCCAGCGTGCTTTGCGTCTGGGTGCTTCTTCCCTGTCTGGTGGGGGATCCTTGGGATGGAGAGCAGCGCGTTTGTGCATGCGTGGCGTGGCTGCTGCTGATTTCATCTAAATTTGACCCCAGCCCCAAGACTCATCGAGCAGCAGATGGCCACCGCATCAGCCATGGCCCACCCCCCTGTGTCCCTGCCTCGACAGGTGGGCAGGGCAGGCAAGCGCGCCAGCACTGTCCCACACACGCACGCACGTGCGCGCACCCCCCCCCCACACACACACACACACGCACGCACGCACGCACACGCACCCCCCCCCCGCCCACACCGACACACACACACACACACACACACGTCCACAC